GTGTATTGCTTGATTTAACTGCTTGAATTGATTTTACACACTTAGTACTATTTCACATTTTACACAGGGTATTTAAATTGTCTATTTCAGGAAACTGGTTTTGATAAATGAAAAGCAGAATTCGATCAAGACAGTTATTGGTTGTGTCAGTCTTTGAGTCTATAATTCTATTTCACTAATACCTTGACTTTAGAATGTAGTTTTGTCACGGGATACCAAAGGGGGAGCTTGTTAAGTATTTGATGTAATTGGCAAGTCTGTGAACAAAAGGGACTAAAATTAATATGTTGTAAAAGTCAAGAAGTAATGTCCAAATAGTGCAAATTTTGATATATTAGGTCTAAGATTCGAGAATTGAAAAGAAGGAAAAACGGCTCGATAATTTCGCTAGACTGTCGCCATAACTTAGCTCGAGCGTCAGAAACAGTAACACGTCGCTAGCCTGTCACTAAGGTTTCACTCGAGGGACACACTGTCGATCGCTGGTTGGCCAGCTGTCGCTCAAGCGACAGGGTTATCCAGTGAATTTTTTAAATCCATTTTTTAAAACTTTTTATCCGGCTCATCCATTCCTTAACCTACATATAAATAACAGAATGCCGCTGAACAATTTTTGAAAAGGTTGAACATTAAGAAAAGATACACTCACCATATCATCTTCATCAAATTAGCTTTCAACCTTCGTTTTGTAATTTATTCTTGGCGGTAAAAATATCAAATCCACAATCCAAATACCAAACTGCTACTTCTTATATATCTGTCAGAGTTCTAAAGATCAAGGGAAGGTGACTGAAATTCCAGTCGTTGAAGAACTCGGAGTTCTTCATTAATCCACAGAAGATAGATGAATTCACAAAGTTAGGAGTTGTTACAAGAGAGCGCAATCCATGAGAGCTTTGAAAACTGTAGTTGGGAGTTGCTGCAGGAGCTCGAAATCAAGAAGAGCTGTGGTAGTTGCAGTCAGGAAGTCAGAAAGTACTAGTGGCAGTCGAGAGACTGGTGGACTCTAAGTTTTAATTCGTTTATAGTGGATTGTTGACTGACAAAGTGCCCAGAGTTTTTACTCAGCCGGGATTTCTCCGTGATCATATCTTGTATTTATTTATTACTTTCATAACTGCGGTATTTCAACATAGGGAAAATTGAATTATAAGATTAACCATCTAGAATAATTAATAGTGACTTGTTGCTAATTAATTATTAAGTTTTTAATTCCACATAATCACCTATTCACCCCCTCTAGGTGTAGTTTGAGTCGAGCTTCGTATTTTCATCCTTGATGAAATATTTGTCCGTTTCTACATGTTTGGTTTGATTATGTAGAATTGGATTAAGAGAAAAGTTGATAGGAGATTTGTTAATACAATAGAGTTTGATTGAGAATTTTATTGTAACTTGTATTTCTTCCAAGAGTGTCTTTGACCATAGTCATTTAAAATTTCCTTGCACAACTAGTCTAAACTCTATTTTAGCACAGCTTCTGCTAAAACATTCTCTTTCTTACTTCTATAGGTCACCACATTTTCCCATACGAACTTACAATAGCCAGTAGTTGACCTCTTATCTTCTATTGATCCAGCTCAATCAACATCAACGAATATTTCTACTTCCTTCTTTTCGCCTTTTTTTAAAAATAGAAATCCCTTCCTTGGAGAGCTTTGAGGTATCTCAGAATCTTGTGTACCGCTTATAGATTAGCTTATTTTGGAGAATGCATGTGTTGTCTTAACGCACTAACCGCAAATGTAATATTAGGTCTAGTATATGATAGGTAGATTACTTTTCCAACTAGTCACTGATATTTATCCTTGTTAACAGATTTTTCGATGTCATCTTTCTTCCGACATCTATAGGAATGTCACTTGGTTTACATCCAAGCATACTATTTTTAGTTAGAAGGTCTAGAACATATTTTCATTGTGAAACACCAATACATTTTTTACTTCCATTCCTAGAGAATGCCGCATTTACTCCAGATTTTTTACTTCAAACTCTGATGCTAGACCTTTTTTTAGTCTCTCTATCTAGACTGTATTGTTTCCAATGAGGATTGTGTAATCTGAAAGCCCCAGAATAACTAATCAAGAGAGGGTCAATTGGTTTATGAGACTTTTTCTAAGAATTAATCTAAATTCGAGCAAGTAAAGACTAAACACATTAATTCAAATAATAAGCACAAATATGAAATCGATAAGTAAAATGGAAGAGATGATACAAACGATATAATTGTGAAGATTTAATCCAAATCAATGATCGACGTCATCCATTACCAAGCTTCCTAGCACGAGCGAGGACTTTTCACTATATTGATTGACTTATAGTGCAATCCAACTCTTTAAAACGCTTTTCGTGACTTACAAACAAGGAATACCGATCCTTATACAATATTGAGTTTTACGGAACCTCAATATGACCCACACTACTGATCTTTACGAGTATTCAATATGACCCACAAGTATGACAAAATAATTTTACATTGAAACTCCTTTGTTGATAAATGATACAAACGAATTAAATAATAAGAGAGGTTAATACTTCAATAAATAGCAACAAATGATAGTTTAAGTATTAGATTAAAACTTTCCCGAACATGATAACTAAAAATTAAATTCAATCAATCAAAATTTTTCAATGAGAAGATTAAGAATAATTAAATGCAATTTTAAGTTCAAAAATCTTCTCATAATATTTCTCTCTTTTACTGAGTGATAGCAATAAATTAAGTTCTGAGAGAGAGATGCGAAACTTTAATAAATTTGATAATTAAAAATTTGATTCAATTAATCATAATTTTCAATATGAAGAAGTGAGAGAAAATAAATGTAACGTAAGTTCAAAATATTTCTCTCTTTTATGAATGATAAAAAAATGTTAAGAACAAAAAGAAAAATGAAAAACTTTGATAAAGATGATGAAAAGTGTTTGAATCAATTAAAATTTTTTATAGGGAAAATTGCAACCATGGTACCAAACCTTTCACATTTTTGTAGACTTCATCCAAACCTTTGTTTTGTGCCACCCACGATACCAAACCTTTAAACAATTCGTACCCGGAGTCCAAATGAACGGTTTCTGTCCAGTTGACCGTTAATTGACAAAAAAGTTAAAATTGACCAAATTCATTAAGAACAAAGTGGTAACTTTGTATTTTAAATTTAAAATGGTAACAATTTTGATTTTTTTGGTCAACTAACGGTCAACTGGACGGAAACCGTCCATTCAGACTCCGAGTGCGAATTGTTTAAAGATTTGGTATTGTGGGTGGCACAAAATAAATGTTTGGCAAAGTCTGCAAAAATGTGAAAGATTTGGTAATGTGGCTGCAATTTTCCCCTTTTTATATGAATAAATAAATAAAATGAATGCAATGTAGGCTTAAAGAATTTTCTCAAAATATATTTTACTCAATGCTCTTGAAGCACCTTTTAACTTAGAAGCACTGACACACTACCAGGGACAACGTATCGGATATCGATATGCCTCGACACGTTGTCGACGCGTGTCGGAGGCTTGGGTGGGCAACCGACAAAACTGAGAAGGCAGAAAAAGAGAGAAAAAAGAAGGAAAAAGAGAAGGCACCGACGGAACTCGGCAGGTTGGGGAAGGAAGAAGGAAGAAGAAAGAAAAAGAGAGAACAGAGAAGAGGAAGAGACCTGGAAGAGGAAGAAACTCCGACAGAGAAGAGGAAGAGACACTGGTAGCTTGTGGTAAGTGGAATTGTCACGTCTGCCTAGGGAAAGGTGTGTTTGGGGGAAAGGAAAGAAAACAATTAAGGAAAGAAAAGAGTGCACAAGAAGAGATGGCTGAAATGAAAAGTCATCATTTTAGAAGTAAAAATTTCAAATTGTAGGGCCCACCACTGTAAAGTCATAATTTTACCATGTTGTATACATTTTGTGTAGATGTATTTTTTTTTAATAAAACAATATATAACATTTTGTTTGAATTTAATGTCAAATTTGATTTTTATTTATCATTATATATATGATTCAATAAGTATAAAAAATTATTACTTTAGATTATAAAATTAAAATAACCTAAAAAAAAGTTGTAATCTACGTGTCGAAGACGATATCGTGTCGGAACTTTTTTTAAAAATCGCGACACGTATCGTGTCGGACACTCGTGTTCGTGTCGATGCTTCTTATCTTTTTAAAGAATGGAAATAGTAAGAGTATTTATAATGTTCAAAAAGTAAAATACTCCGTCAAATGGAGAACTTTATAAAATGCATCACCAATGTGCCACAACCAATGACACCTTCAATTAGTGAGCACGTTAGAGAAAACATTATCAAGTGAATTGAATAGGCCCCAGGTGGCCACTTACCTCAACTCTTATAATCTATTCCTCATTTGCAAATTATCAAGAATATTTAGACAAGTCGACATTCCAACTTTCAAAAATTTCGAACATTTTCCTGTTGTTTCTAGTCCCCCAAAAGATCCATTGTAGCATAAATTGACATCTGCCTTCAAAAGGCAAGCTAGTCCATGGCGTGGTTCATGAACAAGTCAAGCCAAACCGGACCCGAACATTTTATGGGTCACGTTGGTTCAAACTTGAAAGGAGCTATTTGATAGTAGCCGTAATTCTCATTTTGATTCAGTGGAATTAAAATCGAATTTTTAATAAATTTTGATAACGTTTATAAAATATATGGTTAAAATGGTGTGGTCCCATAAAATACATTATTAAAATTAATTATTGATTTTGATTTAAATTAAAATCTTATTTTAGTTTTTACAAAACTGGGGCTAAATGAGATCAAAACTATTATTTGTCAACAGAAAAAATTATTAAAAATGAATAATTTATTATGTAACAAGAGCTCCCAAATAAAGAACAGTATAATGTGTCGCCATATATAAATAGTATAATTCACAGTGTCCATCCCGAAAAAAGAAAATAGAAATAGTATTCACATACAAAACTCAGTTTGTATGATGTACGATTTCAATGCATTATAAGGAACTTATGAAGAACCATGGGTAAATAATCTAATTCTTGATGAGGACCAAGAGAGACGAAACCAACGAAGAACCCACAACAACGGCAGAAACCGGCAAGGTGTATCCTGCACCGTGGTCCGGCGCAGGCGACGGAGACATTGGGAGATCATCCTGAGCCATTGCAGCAGAAAAAGTAGCCATCACGGCTACGAACATGAACAGAGCCCTCAACATTGTCATTTCCATATTGAGGGAAATTTGAAACCAATTGTTCCAAGAAAATTGTGTGTGTTTTCTTGGTCCTTGAGCGGGGTTTATATATTGTATGTAAAGCCGTGTGGGTCCCAAAAAACATGGACAGCTAGTGATTTGGGGACACGACACGCAGCGCCGCCGCTATTGTAGGCTGGCTGCGACACGTTTCTTGGGTGGCGATGGCCATGTTATGGCAAATGGCATGGCTGTTAACCTAACTTTCTTAGTCTCTAAGGGAAGCCTCTAAAAGTCGGTAGACTTGGATTGTTAGCAAATCATACTCTTTAAGTTATTTTGGTCTTCCTTGTCACAATAATTAATTTATATTTTAAGAGAATTTTGTCAAATAAAGTGAATCAAATACTCTTTACAAAACTATATCCATCTCCTACCTATAATTATTAAGTATTAAAATATCTCAAGAAAGTGTGATTTTAAATAATTAGTTTCTATGAATATATCAACAACAAATCTAATATTTATAAAGTGCTTCTTCCATTTCATTATAATGATTACAATGAAAATGAGCAATTGATCGATGGATAATTAAATTAGTAGTTAAATAGATCATCAATGACATGACACATTAATGATGAATAAGTTCATGATATGTCTTAAGAGTTAAATAATTCATCAATTAATTGATGTGGCATTTCATTGTACTTAGCATGAGCTAAGCATGATTACTTTCAAGATCATTTGTCATAATTAGGTTTGGGCAAAAATCAATTCGAGCCAATCACATCGATCAACAGAATACAAACCACTCAATTTGTATTGATTTTTTAGTTCAATTGAGTTGGATTCAAATTAGGAAATCAAATTTTAGGTCGAGTTGAGTTGGGTTCCGAATTATCTATTAAAATCCAATCAAACCCAACCCAACACAACTCAATAAATAAAAAAATATTAATAAGAAAATTAGTAATTAAAACATAAAACCTAATGATCAAAATTATATGTTGTCTTATGCCTCTTCTACCTTTCATTGTTGCTCATGCCTCGGCTTCTCGACTCGATTTTTTGACGTGATTTTTGACTAAACATTTGGATTGAAGTACGAGATTTTGTATTAAATTTGGATGATTTAAAATTTTTAATATTTAGTTGAATTCATTTTATTCAATATGTATAATATGCAGATATTCAACATATATTTAAATTAATTTAATATGTATTTAATTTGATCATGATATAGTCTATTTAACATGTTTTACAATATTTTTAATTTATATTGTTCTATTGAAGTGGAACTTAACCTCACAGACCATTNTCCAAACCAATTAACCCAACTCCAACCAACCCCAGTTTGGTCAATTTGAATTGGATTAAGTTTCAATCGTGAGTGGGTTGGTTTCTTCGGTCTAAATTATTCTCAAACCAAACATGTTGAGTTGGTTTGGGTTGTACTCAAAACCAATCACATCCAACCCACACACAACCCTAGTCATAATTATAAATTCGTGATAAACTTTAACTACAAATTATAAACAAATTATAATAAAACACAAACATATACAAATAATTCCTGTTCTATAAAATAGGAGACGTCGTTACAAATTAAACTATCGAGATCCAAATGCCATGAAAAATAGGTTTAAAACTCAAGCGTTGAGTTTATTCTTTTTCCTTTTCTCCCTTATTTTTGTTAAAATTTAAAATAATGGTGCGATTGATTGTCAATATTTTTCATGAAAAATGTCATTTGTTCATCCAAATTCCTACTTTTGTACTGTTTAATTGATATTTTTTCCATGAAAAATATTTTCCGACTTTTAGTCACATGATCATACTTTCCTTGAAAACAAGGAAAATATTTGCGTAGTGGGAATATATTTTTATTTTCCATGAAATTCTCTCTCTCTCTCTCTCTCTCTCTCTCATCTACCCACCAATAAAAAATGAACTAGTATTACATTTTTAAGTTGAAAATTAAATTAATCAAACACATTTAATAGATAATTTTCATGCAAATAAGTTCTAGACAATTTAATTGCCTAAAATTTATTTTATTTCCATTTATTTCATACTTGCAATCAAACACACTCCAAAAAAAATTTAAAGTGGAGGTTTCAAATCATTCAAAATGTGTAGTGCGACCCTAAACCTTTAAATTGTAGTAGCTATGTCAAAAATATTTTAAAAATATACTGTAAAAAGATATCTGAACAATTTCCTTCCAAAATGTCATCATTTGATCAACTTTATTTCCAGTTGCGGTGGTGACGATTGTGATGGGTGGTGGTGGAGATGATGATTGTTTTCTTTTTCTTGTTTTTCAGTTTCTCTTTTTTTCAATTATTATCCTAATTAATTAAATATTAAAGATTTTTGTCTTTCATTAAAATGGTTAAATGCAAGTCAATTGGTCAACTAATGTGTATTTAGATGAAAAATATCCAGCGGACCTTCTATCACATATTTCTGAAAGATTTGCAATGTAACTTTTATAATTTAAAGATTGAAGATTGTATTGCATATTTTCTAAAGGCTTAGGATCTATACAACAAATTTCCTTTTAAATAATTTTAAGGGAGAATTGCAGTCAAAGTACCAAACCTTTCATTTTATTATAGACTTGACTCAAACTTTTCATTTGTACCACCCACGGTAGCAAACCTTTCGAAAATTCGTAGGTGAAGTCCAATCAGACGGATTCATCATATTAGCCGTTAGTTGACCTCAAAAATTGGAAAATTGATAATTTTAACCAACTGGATAAGAGTAAAATTGTCTATTCCAATTTAACATAAAATAATTGAAATAATTAAATAAAAACATGCTTTCATCTTCCTCCATTCTCCACTCAACCCACTAGACCATCCCACCTTATACCAACCAAAACCAAATTCACCTTCTGTCCCCAAACAAATTCGACACCAGTATTTTCTTTCCTATCCCTCCACCTTTTGTTGCCACACGACACCTTCCATCGTCATCGCCATTGCCACCTTCCACAGTGTATTACAAGAGCAGCATCACACTTCTTGCCCTCCTTCTTCTTCGTCGCCACCTCATTTTCTATCACCACTCTCAAGCCATTTTATTACAACTTCAAATCCCATTTCCACCCCCCATTAAAATGCTTTCATCATTCAATTCCGTTCCATATCCCAAACCCAATGAATCCACCCACCCCACACCACTCCACCCCTTTTCCCATCCCACGTCCAGTGAATTTGTCCAAATCCCAAAAGAATGAGCATGTGTTGACAATCCTCATAGAATCCAAAAAGACTTTTACGGTTTCATACTCCAACAAATTTGGATTCTTTCAACCACAAAAATTACTGATGCATACATCCTTTTGAGATTATGAGTATCAGAGAATGAGCACAAATGGGTAATTAAAGAATTGGTAAGAGACATACTAGGGAAATAAGAACAATTTGTGAGAGTCTTGAACGACTTGCATGTCTCATCTATGTTGCGGTTAAAAAAGGGATTCTTGGAGGATGGTTTCATAATTAGATTTCCGTGATTTGGTAAGGAATTTTGGGGCCAGATTTTCTCCGATATTTTGTAAGGGTTATTGGGGTTTTGTGGTTATTTTTCCCGGCTTTTAAGGTAGAGTTGGGGCTGGTGGTGGTGTCGATGGTGGTTAATTTTGAGGTGGTGGCGATTGGGTGGGTGTGATTTTAGTTTTGGGGTGAAAGGGTTGGGGAAGATGGAAATGGGCTGGGTGGTTGTGGTTTTTTGATTTTGATTTTAATAGGGAGAATGCGCTATATTAAAAATGTCATTGTTTTATCTGGGAAAAATTATATATGTTTTCATTTCCGGAGTCAATTGATGATTTTTGGAGTCAAACAGGTGGAATCCGTCTGATTGGACTTCATTTGCGAATTTTGAAAGGTTTGATACTGTGAATGATACAAATGAAAAGTTTGGATCAAGTCCACAATAAAATGAAAGGTTTGACACTTTAATTGCAATTCTCCCTAATATTAATATATCTTATAATTGAGGCCTCACACCTAAAAGTCAAATCGTTCTCACATATTTCAAATAGAACGTGCCTCCAAGTCATTTGTTGGGGGTACATTTACATCACTGAGCTCCACAAAATAAAAATTGGGCTCGAACATAGAATAACAAGATGGATTAATATAGCTCCTATTCGATGGAGATTAAAAAGATATTTTAATAAATTTTGATAAAAATTAATAAAAAAATTATAAATTTCATAAAATATGTGGTTGAGATTAATTGTTGACTTTAATTTAAATTAAAATCTAGATTTTAATTTTTAACAAACGGAGGCATAATATGTTTGGTAAGATAAATTATATGAAACCTTGTTAAAGTCCTCTTACGTGAGAGTTAAAATCAGATTTTTAGTAAATTTTGATAGAAGTTGATAAAATGCGTTGTTGAAAAGTTGTGAAACTCATGAAATATAATTTTAAAATTAATTGTTAATTTTAACTTAAATTAAAATTTTGATTTTAATTGGTACGAAATAGGGGCTAAATGAAAAGAAGAAGATTTTTAAAAACTAATTTTTTTAAAAAAAATTCTTATTTCAAAAGTACTTTTAAAATTAATCACATTAGATTAACTTTCTCTAAAATCTCTTTAGTTAAGCCCCTGTTTGACACCCATTTTTTTTCATTCTCATTCTCATTTTTTTCCTATTTCTTCATTTCAACCACACATTCTATCAATAAAATAATACTACACATAAACCCAAAAATTCTCATTACTTTTTAACTACACATTCTTCCATCAATCACTATTTCAAAATTTATTTTTTCTCCAAAATGGGTGTCAAACAGGGAGTAAATATAATATTAAATAACATATACATTTGAAAAAGGGTGAAGCGTATAATTTTTTTATTTTTTTCATTCTCATTCTTCTACTCATTTTCAACCACACATTTTTCAATAAAATAATATTTTCCATCACATCAATAACTTTTCCTTCATTTTTAACCACACATTCTCCATCAATCTACTATTTAATAATACATTTTTTCAAAAGAATGTGTCCCAAACACACTCTAAGTGTGTAATATTTATAAGTCCCTAAAAATGTATAGATAAAAAATTATTTAAATGCTTATAAGCATGAGCCAAACGAAGTCATCTCTACTCATCTAACCGACTCGCTCAAAACGTGGAGCTAAAAGCCCTCTCATTCGGCCACAGAGAGAAATATTGTGTAATTCCATATTTTACTCAGGCATTCTAAATATTCGAATACTCCATAAATTCTTTTTCTAAATATATAGCACGAAAAAAAATACGTGATAGACATTAGCTTAAACTATCTTAAAAATAGCAAAACAACCCCTATAAATACCAACCTACACCACCACCCTTATTCACAAGGCAGCAAATAATTTTAAAACACGCACACAGAGGCAAGATACGGTGATTGTTCCAAGTTTTTCGCCAGATCTTGCCGCCGCCACCACCATGGAGATGAAGAAGATTGCATGCGCCGCCCTCGTTGCCGTCGCCTCCATGAGCGCCGCAATGGCCACCGCCCCTAGCGAGGCTCCGGCTCTTGCCCCCACCAGTGAAGCCATCGCTGCCTTGCCCACAATTGGGTCCTTCATCGGAGCCTCCATCTTGTCCTTCTTTGCGGTTTACATGCACTAAAATAACCGGTGAAAGAAGTGATTAATTACTTGAAGGAAATGAATAAAAATAATTTCTTTTGGGTGCCCAGAATTGATCTTCTCACTTTTCTGAGTGTGTATTGTATTTATTGTCCCTTCATTGTGACAATTGTTTCCCCTGCAATGCAATAATAAAAAAAATTTATAGCTTCAGCAAATTTATGATTTTACTTATTTATTGTTAATTTGTTGGTTGTTACACGAATTATTGGTACAATATTATAGTTAAAACTCTGCCCGGCCCGGCTGGTCGGACCGGACCGGAAAATTAGCTGCCCGGACCTTTGACCGGGTCGGACAGATTAATTTGATAGAAATGTACTTGACACGATCAAAATCGGGCTTTCATCGAGTTAACCGGTGATTTACCCAGTCCGATTGACCGGTTTGATTGAGTTTTAAAATCCTCTTACAAAATTTTTTGATCCAAGAGAATTGAACATTGGACCTCTAAGAAAAGTAATGAATTCCTCACAATTTGAACATAGAGTGTTTGTGTTATTTGTGTGCAATAACTTATATCTATTTAATGAATCATTTATAAGTTTTATAAGAATATTCTTTTAAAAAATTTTGGTCCAGCCTTTTATTTTATTTTATAAACCTAAATAATTAATGAAAAATAAATTAAAAATTTTAATTTTGTCCCTAAAAAATTTTATGCTTTATATTTTTTTGTAAATTTTTATACAATGACTCACCGGTTGAACCACCTGGCTGCCGGTTGAACCACTAATCCATTGATCCGCTGCATTGTTCGGGTCTGTGTCCGAGTCGAGTCTGACAATTATAATTTGGACTATAATAATTATTAATTATATCTGAGAAGAAAGAAATTTTATTGTTTTATATAAAACCTTTTACATAAAGAAATATTATTGTCATATATAAAAACTTTTATATCGGTATTTTCGTGGTCCAATGATTATTGGATTCTTGAAAGTTGTGAATTGATATAATCCGAGTAAAATATGTGTCAAACAACCGAACCGACTCAAGCAATTCGAGGCCACTATGCGAAAATTTTTGAAGGAGCCTTGTCCCGAATAATAATCTTTGTATGAAAAATATATAGCACCCATCTCTATGAGCCCCCATTTAAATCTCATTCTTTGGGAGAAAATACATTTTCCTACAGTAAAATTTACTGTAAACAGCAGAAAAAGCAGAAGACATCAATAACTTGTGTCAGAGTACATATTCAACCCACTTGACCATTACATTACAATTTCGATTTTGCCCTCAAAGCAAATTCCAAATCTACACAACACCCCCAGCCACTTTACCCTGTTGAAAAAGCAAAAAGGAGAAGCTCCTATCAAACGACGACGGCGCAGCTGCTAGGAAAGTACACCGATGGAACAAAACTGAAAAATTCTCAAAGAATGTACTGTCCACCCCGCTAACGAACTCCGGTCGCCTTCTAGAACCCGCCCGATCAATCGCTGTTGAAAAAAGGCACCAACTAAAGCTCCGCCCGCCCGACACTCACACGATTATTCAAACCAGATTTCCCTTCTATGGAAACCGATGGGTCCCGGTGGAACTGTTACCCCGACGACACGGTAAGATATTCCTCGTATGCATCTTCACAGGTAAATGAAACGTTCTTACAATTAACGGTCAAAATCCGGGATTTGATAGTTATTCTGTCCAGTTATGGATATTGTGCTAAAAGCACTAAAAACTCTATTATCAGATTTTACATGTTACCATCCTCTGATAAATGATAAAATTTTAAATCGGAATAAAATTTTATTAATAGAGTTTGCAGATTATTTTATTCCCTTGATTTGGAAGTTGGAATTTTCATTTGTGTCGGGTGAAACCCACAATTATTGAAGAAATTTTCTACCTCATGGTGGAATAAATATGAACATGAGTGAGCCAGTTCTTAAAAACATACTGAACGATATAAAAAATATCAACAGCTTACTGAAAGTGAGAGAGAAGAAAATGTTGATTTAACATTGGATAATGTTATCAAAATTGTGCATCAAATTTGAAGTGTTAACCCCCAAAAAATCTGAAAAATCTCGCAAAAGATCAACGTTGCTTTGTGCTTTCTAAAAACCCAATCTTCCCATTGCAGCGTTACCCAGTTGGAGGTCGAGACCCGTTGAATCATACATTTTCCAACCATCATGAGCCTCAGAGTGGGCAAAATGAAACCCAACAGAGCACAAAGTGTTTATCGAGACCTGCGAAATTGTCATCGCCGAAGGCCATCGTCGAGGGAAATGCTTTTCCCTGAAAGGATGGGCTCGTATCGCAGACCTATTCAACGCCGCAACGGGTAAGAGTTGGACTACAGCCCAGATGAAGAATTACTGGAATAAACTGCGAACAGATCACAAACACCTATTTGAGTTACGGCGCTGCACTGGTATTGAGTACCGCTCGGGTACTAGAAGAATTAACGCTCCAGACCATTGGTGGGAATCAAAAATTAATGTACGTTATTTTTCCCTACATGTTGGCCTACTGTGGTTCGCCGCTATTTACTCTTCTTTCCAGTTTTACTATCTATTTTTACGGTTTTGGTGTCCGTGCATAATGGCAAATCGTTGTGGATTCATTTTCCAATTGGGATCACAGATATTAATGGCATGTCAAGTGTTCAGATAGTTTTACATATGGTGTTGTAAATTTTCTTATAGTCAGTCTAGAATCACATATGTCATTTGTTGATCCTTATAACTATCACCTTTAGTCTTACCGTATATTTGTTGTTTATGTGATTAAAAATTTGATTTTTGAAATTGCTTGTATGCTTATGGATCTTGGTCATAAATCTTTCTGGCAGTCTTTGTCATTTCTTGATTCTGTGTAACTGGTGTATGAATCTCTACAGTTTATTGATTTTGTGATGAGAAATCTGATGTTCAATGATAGATCAGAAGTTGTTAATTTTAAATTAGAATCTTTGAAGCTGCACTAATCCCTTTTCTGGTATACATATGAGCATGTATTTAAATATGCATTATTTATTATTTTTTAGTGTCGAGTTTTATGGAACTTCTAAAGACCTTACGAGTTCTGTCCATATGCTTGTAGAATTTTTCTTATTTCCAGCTAAAGATTTTAAATGATTAACTCTGAACTGTCTCTCACAAAAAGTTGAGGCCAAAGGCTAAATATTTTTTTTATTATTTTTCTAGAGATTGCTACCGCATCACTTTCTCTTTTCAAAAGATTCAGCAGATCCGATTGTCTAATTTTCCCATTTGTACTGTATAAACGAATTTGTTTTATTGGAAAGTATTTCAAGGTTATTTTCAATATAATCAATTTTTAGTTACAATTTTCAATTGAGAAGTTGTGACTCCCATACAATGTCTATGTAAAAATAATTATTGACAAACTGATTTTGGAAAAATGTGTGCCAATCAAGCCTTATGCACTACAACTTTTGAATTGTCCAGTGATGCTTCGAAGAAATTGACAGTTTACCATCTCTCCTAATAAATTACATGTTGAAGTCTTGTTAATTGATTCGAATTGAAGTGCAAGATGTACGAAGAATTGTATTTATGTTATGTTTGAAATGTAAGAGTTTTCTTCTACATAGGACTAACTGTATACCAATCTGGTTCCTGCAGGAAAACTTGAAATACGCGAAGTATGAAAACTTTAATTGCAGTGAGATATACGACACATATGGGAAATTGTTCGGCGACATCGGTGACTCGACAAAATATGTCATTTCCCCAACCAAGTTGTCGCAGCGTGGTTTTGACTTTAGCACAAATGGCGACAGGGAGTTCGACGGCAATACGATGCCCATCAACGCGGAGGCAACCGATTCCAATGGCAGTCCAGTAGAAGGTAGAGCAGGCTCACTGATGCTTATATCCGGCAGTCGTAACGACGACAAAGGAAATGCAAAAACAGGAAACGTAGAGGGAAGAAGAAAATGTACGGTGCCCGAGATGTTTCAGCGTCCCTTGAGCACATGCTTACTGTTGGAAAGGATCTCGACTCCATCGCGAGATCGTATCAAAATGGTGTAATGTCAGTAGCCGAGTGCGTCGACGAACTTCTATCCACCGGGCATGTACATGAAGGTGACGAGCTCCACCTCTTTGCACTATGATTCTTACGGGAGAAAGAAAATTGAAACTCGTACTCCGTTGCCAATACATGTTACTTGCGGTTCAAGTTCATGGAGTTCTACTTCGAGAGGGACAAAAATTCGCGACCATGTAAGGTGTGAACTGTCCATTTGTGGTGATGATATGCGTTGCATTTGTTTTCCCTTCATTCGTACGTTTTTAATGTGTATTGGACATTTGTGTGATTTTCCCTTTTCTCGTATGGGTTTGATGAGGTTGTGATATGTGTGCGACGATTATTTCCATAATCATTTTAAGGACGTTTACGTTCGTTTATGTTGTCATGGAAAGGGTTTAAATCTTTTTAAATTTTATTTTTCGAGTATCTTGACAAATTTATTACTAGGTAAGAAGCTAAAAAATTAGTAATAGGAAAGTATAGCATGCTGCAATATTACATCGAGTGAGATTAAGATATTATAGTCTACTCATTATTGGAGTTAAGGACTATGAAACAGCTTTATTTTGTTCTGAATTGATGACAAAATTTGGATTAAATAGATGACTATTAAACAACTTTATTTTGAACGGAAGACATCTGCTTCGACTTTTAAGACATTAAAAAATGGGGGGAAGCTGAAGAGTGTGTATGGATTTTGGTAGTACAAGATTCTAGCTTGTTCCCAGGAAAAATGACACCTGGGTCACTAATTTAAATCATTGTGAGTGGCTAATGGAAAAAAGAAATCACTGATATTGCAGGGAATATAGGTAGTGCACAGAATATATTCCCCGTAATTTGATTTCATTCACATGGGTTTGCTAAGAGAAGAGATTTAGAAAAGGACAATCACGAGGGTTTGCAATGTCTTCCTTCTGTAACGGAATCAGTCCCCCCCTTTTTTTGTTATAAGTACCAATAGAAAATGTAAGTAATGGCACTGAACAAGGAGTGTTATCCTATGAAACAAATTGGGCAAAAAATTTGAAACAAACGTTTGTTTTCGTTATGCCACGTAAAGTTGTTCGAAGAGATATCAGACAATTTCGATGCGCACTCATCTTCAGAAACAGATTGCGACATTGAATCAATGTCGGATTCCTCATCGAGTTCTAATGAAGATTTCATGCAGCAGCTAGAGGATGACATTTACATGTAGCTCCAATATTGTAGAGTAGCCGAGCGCATTGTTCACGATTACTTGGCACCGAATGGAGCACGTCGATATTTATTCCCGACATTGCGATGTGGCCACATTTTTATGCTACAAAATATACATGTTTATCCACAAATGTGTTTTCAGGAATTTAGGATGTATCCTCCAATGTTTATGTACTTCGCGTACATCCTTCGTGATGAGTACAACATTTCCAGCAGCGCGAACATTGACATATACGAACAAGTGGGAATTTTTTGTGTACACTAGCACATGGAAAAGGTTATCGCCAAGTGCAAACGCTGTTCAATCATTCCTTGCAGACCATCAGTCATTATTTCAAGAAAATCATGCGTTCTTGCATGGCATTCGCAACAAAAATGATTAAACCGGATTCTAGGTACAATGAAGGCCCAGCTCACCATCATCCACCTGTGGAACGGTATCCTATATTTTAGGTAAAGTTTCTTACGTAACTGAAAGTTAAACATTGATAGTGGTTATAAAACGAATTTTGTTCATGTGGTCGAGAAATCACAGGATTACATTGGTGTGATAGACGGAATGCATGTGAGAGCTGTGCTGTCATGACATGAAAGAGAGAATTACATTAGATGGAAGGGGATACCGACACAGAATGTATTGGCAGCATGTGATTTCAATCTATGTTTTACGTACGTGCTGCCGGGAACAACGGGGAACACCCACGACAGTCACATATTGGCCCGAGCTGTACATAGTCCGGAAATCAATTTTCCAGAACACGCAAATGGGAAATATTACCTTGTGGACTCTAAGTTTGCACATAGACCTGGGTATATGGCTCCATATAAGAGCTCGGATATTAGATGTCATTTTCAAGAATTCGGTCATGCAAGGGATGGACAACGGCGTAGGTTTCGAAATGCACTGGAGAGGTTTAATTTTCATCACTCCTCATGCTGTAACGTTATTGAGCGTGCCTTCGGTGTTTGGAAACAGAGGTGGAAGATCATTGATATAATGCCTGCTTACAATATGAGAGTGCAAACAGTTGTGGTCGTGGCCACAATAGGTATACATAACTTCTTAAGGAGAAATAGTCGGCTGGATGAGAGTTTTCGTAGAGCAGAAGAAGTAGACGACAAAGACGTCGAGATAGATCTACCAGATGAAGAAGACGAGATTGCTGTCGAGATCGATGCAGTAGCAGAAGAGGACATGTCGTGGTAACAACTACGTGATTACATGGCACAGGCGTTACGTTAGTGCTTATGGAAGAAGCCGTAGTTGGCTACCTATCCATGTTATATTCGGGTTTTAATATTTGAATGCTGAAATTCTAGAGATAATTTAGAGCTGGAATTCATAGTAATTTTTATGCACGGAAATATTGCATGGTGTAATACTTAAATATGTTGACTTTTCAACCCGAAATTTTCATTAAGGAAATGAATTTTTTGTTCCGTAAAATACTCACCCGTTTGACTTTTCAAAACTAATAAATAGACCTACAATGTTCACCAACTAAAGCCGAGTATCATGTGCCACACCTACCACTTAATTTGAAAGCATGAAGGGCATTTTGTGAATTTGTTAAATAATGCCACATGCTTTCTAAAAACAACCAATTGCTTTTCCAGAAAATCAGAGCCATATGACATGAAGAAGGACACGTGGCCCATACGTAATGCAAACTACTGTTGAAAAAATGGAAAAAAAAAACGGGTGTCAAACGGGGGCTGAATATATGTTATTTCGTCACTAAAATGGAAAATAGCAATAGAAATTTGAGTACAAAAATGATTAATTCTATTAACTGCAAAATCCTTCAACTAAAATGCAATATATAAGAGAGAGAAAATATCACTCAAAATAAATTAAACAACCTACCACACTGAACAAAAAATTAATCAACAATGAAAACAATAATGAATAAAAATTAAAATTATAGTTTTAAAAGACGAAGTTAAAATCGATCAAATGCTTCTCAACCAACATTGAGCATGTTCTCATTTCACAAACTTGAGATACTCTGTTAAATTTTATTTTTGCGAATTATTCATGTTCCAAGCCTTAAGTTTTGGGAAATTGAATTTTAAGAGAACATGTTTACATTTTCAAAACTCAGAGGTAAATAAATTCTATTAATTAAATAAAAAATAATTTCAATCTCTTTCCAATCCAGGCCATCGTCATGGGCATCCGCCCGTTGTCATCCTCTCTTACTAGTCTCCGACATCCACTCTCACGATCACTAGCATCCAAATAACTTCGTCGAAAGAAATATAGAATCTACAAAGATCGTCGATGACGGAACATCTTCTTCAAATGCGAACTAAACGTTGCTTAGCAACGACTAAGCATCGCTTGCTAAAATAGTAGATAGAGAAAGAAACATAGCGGTCGTTAAAGAACTCGATTGAGCATTGTCGACTAGTAATCATCGTCTTCAATGGCGATTGAGTAGCGCTGTTATAATTTAAATCTATTTTTCAAAATTGAAAATAGCCCATGGTGTTATCTATATAGTACTCATCAAAGCAAATAATTTCAATTTTCACCTCCAAAATCTAGTTAATTGAATTTGCGATCAGTTTGGAGAACTAAGGTCAGAGAAATCAATAGCGTGTGACCCATTCTCTTGAATTTATGACATGTGACCTATGCACTTTTACATGTGAATGTGACCTGTGACTGTTATATGTGATATTGATCCAACGGCATTTGACCAATTTTCTTGGATCTATGAACTGTGGACACTGATCTTACCTATGCAATATGACATGTAACATGTAAACTATTAAATGTGACCTATAACATTTAAATTGTGACTCGTGAACTTGAATATGTGATCTGTTATTAGTGCACAAAAACATGTAACATATGATTTATGACAAGTTAATTTTGATCTATGACATGTTGATTGGGACTTATGACCTATAAATATGATATGTAACCAATTATGATTGATCTGTAACCTATGGACATCTTCTGTGACATATATACAATGATCGTGACCTCATACATGTGACCGTGACCTATCACCATTACCTATGGATTATGACTTGTGACCTGCAAACATGATTGTGACCAGTTATGTTTGATGTGACCTATAGACAATGACATGTGTCCTGTGACCTATGACCTATCACCACCATAGACACCAATGACCTAAATAATTGGTACAAACCCTCTTTATACAACACAATCCAAACCAACCCCACACAACCCAACCCTCTTTGATATGTGACATGTGAGCATTTATATGTGACTTATGCACAATGAACCTCTAACCTTGGTCACAAACCCAATTTATACTGCCCCAATTCAACTCAAATCCAGCACCATCACCATCACCACCACCACCTGCACCACCAACATCATCACCGTCAACACCACAACATCGCATCGAATCAGAAAACCACAACCACCACCACCACCAAAACTCCACCACAACCACCATTTGCAAATTGTAAATAAGCAAACTACCAATGACCAAAGCAAATCACCAAACAACCAAAACAAGCAAACAAACTACAAAAGCATCAATTGATCCAAACTGTAACAGATTTCGGCCAAAATCAACCACCAAGAACCGAACGGAATTTGTGCAAAATCCAACCTTCACGGCGATGTTGCGTGACTGTGCCGCCAATAGAGAGAATGTCGAAGGCCAGAATAGAGTGAGAAGAGATATGAGAGGAGAGAGAAAACGATAATTTTTATTTTGATTGATTTTTAAATATAAATAATTAATTATCACCTGAAATCTGAAAGATGAAACTTAAAATCTAATTTATGAAGTTAAATCTCAAAAAA